GTTCTTGAGCCGGGTCAGCTGCGCAAAGTTTCCTGGAAGCGAGCGGATGCCAGTGGTGTCAAGACTCAACTGTTCAGGCAGGCAAGCCGGGTGAGGGAAGCAGGGAGACTTTCCAGCGCAGAACAGTCAGAGAGATTCAGCTCCCTTAGCCTGGATAATGCACCGATGCTGGTGGGAAGAGAAGTGAGCTTGGGTGCATGAACGTCCAAGGAAGTCAGATGCCGAAGCTGAGATATTGTTTCTGGCAGCACACTCAACTCAGCAGCATGCTCTATCTGCAAACGCCGGAGCTGCTTCAGGTCCGAGCCGATGCTTCCTGGAAGCTGCTCAATGTTACCAGCCCTGGAGATAACCAGAATTCGCAGCTGAGGGACAGAAGCCAAGGGGAATGCCAGCTCCGTTGCATCCTCCGCCAACACCAACTCCAGATGCTGCAACATTGGCAAAGCACTGGGTTCAGACACATTGGCTTCCCCACCCTCCACATTGACCAGATTCAACGTCAGCTTCCTGAGATTCGGCAGCGAAGGGAGGTTCGGCAGAAGAACGGTCTGGTTGTAGCTCCCCAGGCCCAGGGACTCGAGAGAGGAAGGCAGGTAAGTAATGGGTCCGTTCAGCCATATGGTAGGGTGACATCCGGTCAGCTCCAGCCGTCTCAGCTTCACAAGGGTGTCTAGTCTTTTGGGAAATGAGACGAGCTCGTTGCAGATCCCGACTGTCAGGGTATGTAGATTCGTCAGTGCTGTCACGGATTCTGGGATCTCCTTGAGATTGAAGCAGCAATGAATGCTCAGATGCCGCAACTGATTCAGATTCCCGATCTCCTCTGGAAGCTTCTCATCTGCAACCAGATCCATGTCAAGCCGGGTCAACGAAGTCAACAGGGAGAGCGAACCAGGCAGCTGCAGCGGGTTGAACACAAAATCCCAGGCCCTTGGGAAGCCTCAGCAGCGGCAGCTTCACCATGCACAGCGTCTTGAGGGCTCCTAGACGACCGAAATTCGCTGGAAGCTGGCGGAATGCGCGGCAACCAACCATGAGCAGGGACTTTAAAGATGTGAGATAGCCAAAGGATTCCGGAAGCTCCTCGAGGGGGAGCAAGTACATGGTAAGTGTTTCCAAGGATTCAAGATGCCCGAAAGAGTCAGGGAGGTCGGTGAGAGGCAGGACGTGCAGCTCCAATCTCTTCAGGGCAGATAAGTGGCCAAAGTTTTCGGGCAGGCTGGAAAATCCGACGCACGAGGAAATCTTCAGGCTCTCTAGCCGGACCAGTGACGTGAAATCTTCGGGCAGCTGGGTGCGTCCTGAGCAGTTGCTAAGGGTCAGCTCGCGGAGACATGGCAAAATCTCTCCCAGGTCGTCCGGAAGCTGGTCAAGGGAGTAGGAACCTGCTATCACCAGCCGTTCCAGCCTGGTGCACGGCATTCCCGAGGGAAGAAACCACATGAAAGGAGAAACCTCTCCGTCGAGCTGCAGCGACTTCAGAAACGGCAGGTGTGAGGCAGAAAACACTTCCGGTGGTGCCTCAAACTCGGGGTCGTAGCTGACGGCCAGGCTTGTAAGCCTCGGCAGGTGGACTAGGTTCGCAAGATGGTGAAAGAGCAGCTTCAGAGAGGTTATGCGGATCGAGCCGAGACATGAAAGGTTCGAAAACCCGGGATCGGTCAGCTTTGACGCGTCCGGGAGAACGAGCGTGCGGAGCCGCGAGAGCTGGAAGAATGAAGCCGGGAAGACGACTTTCGGGTGCAGAGCGGATCCAAGCCGATCCAAGGAAAGAACCTCCAGCTGCATGCATCCCTGAAAAAGCCGATCCAAGCCAGTTTTGGTAATCGGGTGTAAGCGCCTGCTCTCCTCAACGTCCGCATCTCCATTCATCCTGCTTCCAACGTGAAGAACCGTCAGCTTAGGGCATGACGAGACGAGGTGAGAGAGGAAGGCGTCGTCTATTGTTTCCACGCTTCCGTCGCACAGATGGAGGTGGGTCAGGTTCGGGAAGCAGGAGACGGCGTTGGCGAGGTCTTGGCGAGAAACGGCGAGATTTTCCCTCACGAGAAGCGTCGAGACGTAACGCTGGGAGAGACGGCGCCAGCGACGGCAAACGGAAGCGACGAGGAGGCTAAGAGCTGCGTCCGTGAAGGCAGGAGGAGCCTGTACGAGAGAGTTCTCTTTGCTATCGCTTGAGTCCTTGGGCGGAACTTTCGTCCAGAAGTACTTCTGCCTCGGACACACAGAGTCGCATACAGCATTGTCGCATGGAGCATCGTCGAGCGTAGCATTGCCGCAGGTAGGATCGTTGCATGTCGTGTCGCTGCATGTAGCATCAGTGTCGTAAATAGCAGACAGCGGTGATTTGTTGGTATGCCATAGGATCCTAATCAGTAGGTCATCAGAGAGTCTGTTGATGTGCGTACAAGAATCCATGGCTGAGAGCTCAACTCAGATCAACACGCTTCTCTGCTAGAAATAAAAGCTATTCACTGAAACGACTCCCAAAACTAATTTAGCCTGATTCACAGAAGCTACATTTGGCATCTGAACTGGTCGCTGGGGTGGCTGACTGGTTGATTTACGTCGAGGAAGAATGTCAAGCTCACCAAACCAGGGATGTCTATCCATCCATCAGTCAACTCAGCTGTCAGAAAAAGCTGACACCTCTTGCTCGGGATGAAATCATGGCGCGCTTTGGTCAGCCGTTAGTGACCTTCGCGAAGGCAGGAAATGAATTCTCTGAACCCCCTCCTGCGTCTCGCGTTGCGGCAACACCAATGACTGCCCCAGTTTAACGTTGTGTCAGTCTCATGTACAGAATTCGAGGTCTAGGTAAATCGAGCGCAATAAATGAATGAACTGTAAACATGCTGCAATATGGCGCTACATTTCCAAATAATATGTACCTAAACCCAGAAACTTAGGTAAGGCTGGTTATTTTCCAACCTGATCCTTCAAGGTACTACATATAACTAATGCAACACCAATATGAGTTAGTATTCTGGTTAAAAAAGGTTCAAGTCTAAAAGGCTTTCACAGTGTACAAAACAGCACAAAAAGTTGCATGAACAGATCAATTCGGAGCACCCTAACGCAAGGTCTCATGATGCTTTCCTCCCCACACTACTGCCACACCATATCTTCCAACGACACTCGCCCAGTGACAATATCAAGGCTATCTCTCACACAAGCCATCTCATCCGAAGCACCTCCACTCGATAACACCTGCCCTGCCACCTCCTCCCCCTCCTCCCCATCCTTGGACCCAGACCCACCCTCACCCCTTCCCCGTGTTGACTCAGTTGACTCAGTTTCCTCATACTCTTGCTTCTCATCAACATCCCCCCCTTCCACTCCCCTTCCTCTTCTTCCCTTCCTCTTCCCACTTCCCCATCACTCATCTCACCCCTCACTCCACCCTTCACAACCCCCCCTCCTCCACCCCCCTCTCCATCCCTTCTCCCCCTCCTCTCGCCCCTCACAGCCCAGCAGGCAAAATCCGGATGACCAGCATCATCGTAAACCAGAGCCTTGGCTCGAATCCCCACACCCGCTCCTCCCCTTCCTGCTCCCTCTCCCGTTCCCCCAGTTCCTTCTCCTGCTGACCCAGCCCCCTCCCCCCCCAGCTTGAGCAGGCTTGGAGAAGGGGAGGGGAGAAGGAAGGAGTTGAGGTGTTGAAGTGAGCGGATGAGGGAGAGGGAGGTTTCGGGAGGAACTACGTAGTCTGCTGTGCTGCACTGAAGGAGAATGATGGGGAGGAGAGGGGTGGAGGATGGGGGAGAGAAAGAAGAGGAAACTGGAAAAGCAGAGGAGGAGGAGGTGGTGGTGGAGGAGGGACGGGAGGATGAAGACGAGGAGGGGAAAGAGGAGGAGGAAGGAGAGGGAGAGGAGGAGGGGGTGAGGAGTGCAGGCTGAGTTGGCCTGAAGCAAGAGCAGCCACAACAGCTTCAGCAACACCCCCTCCCAGCTCCTGCCTTAGAATGTCGAGAGGTGAGGGCGGCGAGGGGTCGAGGAACCGGGAGGGGAAGCAGTCAGAGAAGAGTGGGGGAGCTTCCTCTGAAGGCGCAGGCGCTTCTTGGGAAGAGGCCTTGCCTGAAGTGGCATCTGCGGGTGCTGCCGCAGCTGCGGAGAAAGAGGAGGAAGAGAAGGTGAAAGGAGGAGGGATGCTGAATTCTTGGGCTGGTTGAAGAGGCGAAGATGCTGGCAAGGATGGTGCTTGAGGTGGCATGGCGGCAGCTGGTGTGGCATCTGCTGATTGGTTGAAAGCTGATGACTTGAGGAGGTGGGATCGAAGGGCCTGCTTCGCTGCTTCTTTTGATGTCGCTCTGTTGACAGCGTCTGCAGCTGTAGTTGCACTATCCCCTTCTGAGATTGCACTTCCCTTTGTACTGGTAACAGGCATACCAGAATCACTTGCACCTGCGTGGTTACCCCTTATGCCTGCTGCTCCTGTTGCTGCTCCTGCTCCTGCTGCTGGGCCTGCTCCTGCCGACAAGGATGATACCGATAATGACTTGGCAGCTGCTGGTTGGCGGTTGGAGATTGCTTTATCAGAGCCAGCTGATGGTTTCACTGGACGGGGAGCACCTGATGACGTGGCATTTGGACCCTCTGACGTGGCGTTGGGACCAGCTGACGTGGCAAACGAGTGGGTTGACGCGGATTTGAGAGCGGCAGAGAGGGAGGGCCTGAGGGAGGCAGCAGCAGCAGCGCTGACGGCTGCTAGCTGCTCGAGTGCCCTGCTTCTAGCAACAGCTTGGGCAGAGGCGGCAGCAGCCTCAAGAGAAACAGAGGGTGCGAGAGAAGTGGAAGGGGCAGCAGCGGAAGAAACAGAGGCAGGAGCAACAAAAGCAGGAGAAGCAGGAGCAGCAGTGGCAGCCAGAAGAGGGCTCTTTGGACAATCAAACGACGCGCCGAACGATGCAGCAGCAGCAGAGGCATCACTAGCAGCACCCGCAGCCACAGCATCTGCAGCAGCAGCGGCAGCATCAGCAGCAGCAGACGCAAGAGCATCAAACAGCAGGGCAGGCGAGGATGAGACGAACCGTGCCGGGCCGCCGATAGCTGGCGACATGGCTGAGAGAGCGAACACGCCCCGTCTCTGCTCGTGCCTCTGGTGGTGGGCTATATCGTACACGCCACTCATGCCCAAGAAGCAGTAGGGTTGCCGGAGGTCCGGCTCGTCTAGTGACCAGAGATCCTCTCCCTTGAGGGTGTAATGAGGCGATTTACCCTTGCTGTCGCTGCTGCTGCTGGTGCTGCCGCTGCCGCTGCCGCTGCTACTGGTACTGCTTCTGCTGCTGTCACCCTCTGCTACTTCCGTGGGCGTTGTTGGTGCCACATCTAAAGAATGTGCATGGAACATGTGGCGAAGGGCTGACCTGAGGCGGCGCCACACAACCATGGAGCAGACGTGGGCGCCTGAGGAGTGGCCTGCGAGGAAGATCCGTGAGGGATCGCCCCCATACTCGTGAACGTGGTCCATGGCCCATGAGAGCGCCTTACTTGTTTCTTGTACTTGGTCTATGGCTAGGGCCTGTGAGTAAGTAGGGCGAAGAGCGGAGAAGAAATGGTGGGGAGGGAGGTGGCGTGTATGAGAAACAAAAGAAATGGGAGGAAGATGCGCGAGGGGTCACCCCCATATTCGTGAATGTGGTTCATGGCCCATGAGAGCGCCGCTGATGTTTCTTGCACTTGATCGATGGCAAGAGCCTTGGGGGGGGTTAGGTGGGGGGAGAGGGAAGTGAGGGGAGAAGAGTGAGAGGAAGACGCAGGAGGGGTCACCTCGCATGAACGGAATAAAGAGGACGAGAGGGGTGTGGGGGTGGGCGGGGAACCGAGGGTAACATGTGAAGTACCTCAGGGTAGAGGGTGTATTGGATGGTAACCACCACCGCTCCAGACTGAGCGAATCGGATCGCGAGGGGAGAATACATCCACTTCTCGCCACTCGCCCACACTCCTCCGTGCACAAAAAACAACACCGGCCGCCCCTTGCTTCCTTCGCTACAGCTGCCGCTGCTGCTGCTGGTAGCGCTGCTGCCAGTGGCAATGGCACCAGTGCTGCTGCTACTACTACTGCTTTCTGCTGCATTGCTGTCAAGTGGCAGATCTGGTGGCATGTAGATGTCAAGGCTGCGGTAGGCAAGGGCACAGGGAGGTAAGGGCAGGGAGGAAGGGAGCAAAGTTGCACTGCTGTCAGGTGGCAGATCTGGTGGCATGTACATGTCAAGACTGCGGTGGGCAAGGGAGGGACACAAGTCATATTTGGTCAGTCTCAAATGATGGTCAAGTCATAAGGGGTCTCTGTCTTGAATGACACTTCATACGACAGAAATCAAAACACTGGAAAAACAAGTAGATGGGGCATCAGAATCTGACATTTGCACACTGTCCATGCCATCCGATGCCATCACATTCACACCAACACATTCACACCAACACATACCCCACCTCATCCACATCCCTCCAGTTCAGCAAACATCCATGCCGTCCCGTCCCATGCCACGTCATCCCATCCCACGCCACGTACGTGTTTCGCGGACGCGGGCCGTAGCGGATATCGTAGACCACTCGCACGCCGCCATGTGGCAGACCCTGCCACAGCATCGCCTCCATCGACGACGCCCAGTTCCACACTGAAAAGCCACGTCATGCCACGTCAGGCCCCACGCCATGCCATATCAGGCCAGGGCACACCATGCCAAGAAAAGCAAGGGGAAAGCAAACAGCACAAAGGGAAGTAGTAAGAAATGGAATAACAGATTTTCTCCGCGTCAAGTTAACAAGCGGGGAGGGAGAATGTTAACCACAGCATTTACACAGCATATTACTCCAAGCGCTGTCACATTCTGTTTTCCCCTTCCCTCCCTGCAACCTCTTCTCTTCCCACCTGTCCTTTCCCCTCCGACTATACAACCTGCTCCATGCTTCATTCCTCCTCGCTTTCCGTCCGCATTCTACCCCCATTCATTCCCCCCCCCGCTTCTACCTGTCGACGTCAGCTGCCTCCGCATTTTCCGGATCCCGATCGCCGACCGCCGAGCCGCGGACGGGCTTTCCGCGTCCCCCGCTTCACCGCGCGCGATCTCCCCCCCCGCCGCATCCATTTCCCCGCTTCCGCTTCCGCTACTGCTCCGCGGACCTTCCAAGCCGCGCTTACTGGCGTAGAACACGCTCCGATACATCGCCATGGCGTGAAACCCGTACGGCGCGTTACCGAATATTCCGACCAGCTCTTTCGCGAACGTTATCGCGAGCGTCGTCGCGACGGAGATGCGCTCCCAGACCGTCGCCTGTCGCAGCACCTCCAGCTGCGCCCCGCGTGCCGCCTCGACGAACAAACTAGCAACCATTTTGCTAGATTCTCTTGATCGCGGCGAGGATAGCTATACTGGTGTTACTTTGAGAATAATGATGCTGTTTTGAGTAACACCAACGGAGGAGAGCAGGACGCAGCGTTGAGTGTCGCGGTGTGAAGGAATCGAGAGCGATTGCGAACGGCAGGCGACTGGGAGAGTTGAGTCACTCGAGGCCTTTATCGCGAGATCGTGGTCGGATGGCTCAAGATGGACCCCGTAAAACCATAGCCTGGTCTAACTCTCTCTCGCTCTTTCCGCGCCTCCGAGAGAGCCGCTCCAACGTTTGAGACTCGGAGTCCTAATCTCTGGACTCGCTTAAAGAAAGTTGCCGCTGGGAGCGCGAGGAACAAGCGCGACGCGGTGTCGAAGCACGTAAAGAACCACGCCGCGGCGGCGGCAATGCCGCTGGTTCGACTCGCCAGACGCTCCCAGCAACCAGTCCCGAATCTCGATCCAACTCAGGCTCACCAGTCTTCTCTCCTCTCCTCTCCTTGCCATGCCCAACTCAAGCACAGCCTGTTCGGGTGTGTGGATTCCCGAAGGTGCACCTTTCGCCCTAGAGGAAGCAGGGTGGTTACAACAGGAGCGTGACAGTGGAAGCACTTTTCGCGACCAATGATTCCCTAGATACCTCTGTGCAAGCGCGCTCGCAATCTTTCTTGAACGAATCTCGAGGAGGGAGAGGGGTGTGGGAGAGGGAACGGAGCGAGAGCCCAAATTCGAAGAATTCGCTGAAGTTCGCTGAGGGAGGGAGATGGAGGGATGTCCCTGGGTGTTTGGGGGGGGCTGTGTGAGCAGCCGTGCTACAGTGTGGTTGGTTGGGTCGGGACCACACGATCTGTTCAGGTAAAGCGCGGTGGCGCAGCTTGTGGCTAAAGGAGGACTCCCTGAACGTCCCTGAGCTTCTGGACTCTCTGTGCGATGGGCTGGCGATCAAACCGATGGTTGCACAAAGTCGCTAGGAATTCTCGCGAATTGGGGGACGGCATAGCGTGTGTCGATATCTCTGATGATCGTGCTGGACCAACGGATGGATTGTCTCGCTCTGGCTAGATAGGTCGGTTGCCTCGCGACAACGACAGCGAATGGATGCGAATGGATGAAATGGCTCACGGCGGGATTGTCTCGTTAAAGAGGGCTCTAGACGATACTGTATAAAAGACATCTTAGATAACATACGTCTATATATATCCCACACCCAGAGCCTTCCAAGGCCCCTAGTTACTTTAGGGTCCCTCGTCATGTATTGTGTTTCTTCATTTTTTGAAAATCTATATATATTTTTTATTTATTAGCTCTTCCAGTCCGCTCACTCACTTTCACAAGTAATCAAAATATGCATATTCTCATAACCTTGCGGGAACAACCTGACCCCAAAGCCACCAAGCTGAATGGCGGGGAAAGGTTGCAGCCGCGTTACTGCAGGCTTGGGTGCGCTAAAGTCGTGGAGAGATCTCTATCGTTAGAAGCAAAATCGTGTGTGCCTGAAGGTACGACGATAAGGCTCGTTTCGTGATTAGGCCACTGTTACACTTCGCACAGCAGATCACACATACCTCCCAGAGCCAGCCGCGGTTTGCTGGTGGGGTCGGATTGGTTTCGTCTAGAGATCTGTTTCACTAGCGGGTGTCAAAACGGTGGGGTAGGGTCCACACAAGAACCGACCTCTACCACCTCGAAACGCAATATACCATACCAGTGGTACGCGTTTTCAAAATCCTCCCACCCCCCACACGGTCTTCCAGAACCTCTTGACACTGCTTCCTTCCTCGCGGCAATTTTGGCTCATTTGATCAGAATAGCAGTTCTATTGTACAATCTGACGTCGCCATAATGATCGGTGGAGTTAGGGATCTATTCCATTCAAGCTAATTTCCAGCTTCTCCGATCTCGCGAGTTGCTTTTGAAAATTCAGTTCTTTATTTCCCGTTTCTGTGTCGCAAAGCCTTGGTCAGTTTTGTAAGATTAATCAGTAGGATCGTATTGTAGCATCAGATTGTAACATCAACCGGTTCCATTACACTGAAGCATCCGCCAGCCATGAGGCCTCAGAATCCTCCCCCTGGCTGGCGTCCCCCCCCACCCGGCGCCGCTCCCCCGTACGGCGCGCCCCCCGGAACCGCTCCGCCGGCACGACCGGGTTTTCCCCCGGGCCAGCACCCCCCGCAGCAACCCGGATTTCCGCGCGGACCCCCTGGTCCGGGCCAAGTTCCGCCTGGTGCGCCGGGATCCGCGCAGCCGCCTGGCGCAAGGCCCGCCGGACCTCCGTTTCCCGGCGGACCGTTCGCCGGCCCTCCGCCAGGTTCGCGGCCCGCAGGTCCGCCTCCCCCGGGGGTTGCGCCGCCCGGCGCGCGAGGTCCGCCAGCTGGATTTGCGGGTCCGCCTGCGGGTTTCCAAGGGCCTCCCGCGGGTGGTCCGCCAGGGGGAGCAGCTCGTCCGCCTGGCCCCTTCGCGGGGGCCCCCGCCGGGGGACCGCGCCCTGGCGGCCCTCCGCCAGGAGTTGGCGGGCCTCCGCCGGGTTCCGCTCCGCCAGGCGCCGCACCCCCTGGCGCGCCGCGCCCCGGCGGTCCCCCTTCCGGATACCCCGGTGCGCCGCAGCAGTACCCTGGCTACCCCCCGCAGCAGCAGCCCCACCCTCCGCCGCCAGCGCAACCCCGCCCTCCGCCTGGCGGACCTGCGCCATATGGCCAGCCATCGTACGGAGCCCCGCCGCAGTCCGCGCAGCCAGGCGCGCCCCTTAACGCGCCCGGAGGCCCTCCCCCGCCCTTCGGCGCGCCTCACCCTCCGCCTGGCGCTGCGCCGCCGTCTTGGGGGGGAGCCGCCGCGCAATCCGCTCCGCCAACCCAGCAAATGAGCGCGCTGACTATGGGCAGCCCTCCGCCTCCCGCTCATGGGCAATACGGTGCACCGCCTGGGGCCGCCCCGGGGCCGTACGGGCAGCACGCGCCGCCTCCGCCGTTCTCCGCCGCTCCCCCGACTGGCCCTCCGCCTGGCGGAGCCATGATGCCCGGCGCGGGCCCTCCGCCGCCCTTCGGCGCTCCCCCGACTGCTGGCGCGGCGCAGCGACGCGCGTATCCCATGCCCGCGGGAACGGTGAGTGTGCCGAAGCACCCATTAAGTCATTTTCGTGTTAGATTTCCGTCCTTAGTTCCCGATTCCTGCCAATCGTCAGGTGCGCTCGCGTTGATTTGATTCGAGATTCGAATAGGTTGTTTCCGTTTGTTCTTCGAGATTTGGGAGCTTTCGCATTCATTACCGCTTCCAGAATCCAATACCCTAACCTGTATGAGCGCCTACGCGCCTTTAGCCGCTATACTGAATTCTTTGCTTGGGTTATGAGGGCCTACGCGCGGGGAATCCGCGTTAGGGTAAATTATGGGGACATCCGCGAAATGTTAGGGTGATATATGCTTTTCTTTCTCCCATTTGTTTCTAGTTGCCCCAAATTCTCATCCTTTGTCCCCGCTCCCCCCCTCCCCAGCCCCCGGACGTGGGCGCGCCCCCCCAGTCCCCCGGAATACACTCCCCTCCCCTGCCATGGGCGCGCGGCAGCCCATGGCGCCCTTCTCGGGGCAGGCGGCGGGGCAGCAGTGGTCCGCGCCCTATCCTCCCCCACTCATTCTGTTCCTCCTCCCTCTTCCCCCCTCCCTCTCCCCCTGTCCCCCTCCCTCCCCCGTCAACCCTCCTCTCTTCCCACGTTCCCCACTCCCCAGCCCCCGGGCGTGGGCGCGCCCCCCCAGTCCCCAGGCATGGGCGGACATGCGCCCCCCTCTCCTGGCATGGGCGCGCGGCAGCCCATGGCGCCCTTCACGGGGCAGCCAGCGGGGCAGCAGGGGGGCGCGCCCGGGTCCAGGATCGACCCCAACCAGATCCCGCGCCCTCCGCCCCCTGCGGACGCGTTTCTGTTTGAGACGCGGGTCAACGGCACGGCGAACCTACCACCGGTGAGTTCTGCTTTTCTGCTTCCCCCAGGGCCAGCAGCCAGCGGGGCAGCAGGGGGGAGCGCCCGGGTCTAGGATCGACCCCAACCAGATCCCCCGCCCTCCGCCCCCCGCGGACGCGTTTCTGTTTGAGACGAGGGTGAACGGCACGGCAAATCTGCCCCCGGTGAGTTCTGCTGCTGCTCTGCTTGTTCCTGGGCTGAGGGGGAAAGTTGTTGTAGTTCCAGGCGAAGCCAGTTTCCCCCCCTCCCCCCCCCCCCCCCCACACTCCCCCTTCCCCACCTCCTCCCCCATACCTCACATGGCAAATGTTTGTGACCCTCCCGTGTGCGCGCGCCCTTTCTTGCTTGTTCCTATCACAGGCTGCCACGTCATCGTTTGTGGTCCGCGACACGGGTAACTGCAGCCCGCGGTTCATCCGAGCATCGCTGAACCAGGTGGGTGAAGTGAAAAGACATGAGCAGGTGTGAGCAGGTGTGAGCAGGTGTGAGCAGGTGTGAGCAGGCGTGAGCAGGTGTGGGCAGGCGTGAGCAGGTGTGAGCAGGTGTTAGCAGGTGTGACAATTGGCACGGTCTCACACTTTCCCCTTCTCGCAATATGAAATTCGTGTGCAAGGATTCGCCAAATCCTTCCCCAGATATCCCTCTCCGCTAACCGCCCCACTCCGCTTTGCTTTTCAGCCGACACCACCAGTGGCACCGTCTCACACTCTCCCCTCCTGCCCCTTCTTCCTACCCTCCCTCTCCCCTTCTTCCTACCCCGCCTCTCCCCTTCCCATCCTTGCCACCTTGACCCAGATTCCCCTCTCTGCGGATCTTCTTAATACCTCCGCCATGCCTCTCAGCATCATGATTCAGCCATCACCACCATTGGCACCGTCTCACACTCGTCTTCCCTTTCCCCTCTACCCATTCCCACTCCCCTCTTCTCCTTGATCCAGATACCCCTCTCTGCGGATCTTCTCAATACCTCCGCCATGCCTCTCAGCATCATGATTCAGCCCTTCGCGCTGCAGGACCCGGCCGATACTCCAGTGCATGTGAGTGAGAGTAAAGTGGGACAGATAGGCTGGGTGGATGGGTGGGCCCCTCATTTCTCCACCTCCGCCATGCCTCTCACTCAGCATTATGATTCAACCGTTTGCTCTGCAGGACCCAGCTGACACGCCCGTGCATGTGAGTGTCACGCCGCTGCAAGGCGTATATCAATCCGTTCATGCCCTGCCTTGCTGACTGATGCGCTGTTGCTCCTCTTGCTCCTCTTGCTGCTATCGCTCCATGTATTTCTTCTCTCAGGTGGTTGACTTTGGAGAGATGGGGCCTGTCAGGTGCCACCGCTGCAAGGCATACATCAACCCGTTCATGTGCTGCTGTGCTGCTTGATTCATTCATGCCCTGCCGCACCTGCATTCATACGCGTTGTCTCTCTGTCTACCCAGGTGGTGGACTTTGGAGAGATGGGCCCAGTCAGGTGCCACCGCTGCAAGGCGTATATCAACCCGTTCATGCGATTCGTGGACCATGGGAGGAAGTTCATCTGCAATCTCTGTGGTGAGTGGTGGTATGATTGAAGGGAGAGAGGAGACTGGTTATAGCTAAGGGGAAGGAGAGAGAGGAATGGGAGGGCGAGGCGTATATCAACCCCTTCATGCGATTCGTGGACCATGGGAGGAAGTTCATTTGCAACCTGTGTGGTGAGTGGAATGGTGAAGGGAGGGATAGGAGAGGTGGTGTTGGGTTAATTGGGAGGGCGAGCAACAATGCAAGGCATACATCGACCCGTTGTTCATGCAATTCGTGGGAGAAAGTTCATTTGCATCCTGTGTGGTGAGTGGGAGGGGAGGAGAGAGGGAAGGAAGAGAGGGAAGGGAGAGAGAGAAGGAAGAGAGGGAAGGAAGAGGAGCTGGCTCTAGCCAAGGTTAAGGGGAGAGTGGAGCTGGCTTATTTGCAACCTGTGTGGTGGGTGGGCGGAGGGACATGGTTTTCTTTGCAGTAAACAAATCAACCCCCCTATTTTTTTTCTCTCCTTGCCTGCTCATCCCACCAGGTGTCTCCAACGAGACTCCTCGCGAGTACGTGTGCAATCTGGGTCCGGACGGCCGGCGGAGGGATGCAGACGAGCGGCCAGAGCTGATGCACGGGAGTGTGGAGTTTGTGGCTCCAAAGGAATACTCGGTGAGTGGTGTGGATGCAGCGGTACAGAAGGGTGGTGCATTGGCTTGCAAGCTGCAGGTAGGTGGAGGGAGAGGGACGCAGACGAGAGTCCAGAGCTGATGCACGGGAGTGTGGAGTTTGTGGCTCCAAAGGAGTACTCGGTGGGTTGTTGTGGGTATGAGGAATTCACGGTGACTTGATAAGGGGGTCCTTTTTGAAATGTCATGCACCTGGAGCTGAAGCTGATGAACGGGATCGTAGAGTTTGTGGCTCCGAAAGAATACTCGGCGAGTGAACTGGGTGCACATACTCGGTCAGTCACGCTGCAGCTCCATGCTGGCTATGAGGATGCATGTTGGTGGTGCATGGATGAGAGCCAGTACGGCAGGCGGAGGGACACAGACGAGCGCCCAGACCTGATGCAAGGGAGCGTGTAGTTTGTGGCTCCCAAGGAGTAGTCGGTGGGTGCTATGGGTTCTGTGAGTGCTCTACATTCTTTCAAGTGCGCCTATGCTAGGGTGCATGCATGCATGGCCAGTCCGTGGATCTGCCTCCGGAGCTGCCCATATAAACAAGCCCTGCAGCCTCTTCTGTCGTGTCACTTCCCCTCTTCTTCCAAATCTGCCGCGCTTTCTTCCCTCTTTGTCCACTACATTCCACCCGCTCTCATTCAGATCCGCGATGCCATGCCACCCGTCTACTTCTTTCTTCTGGATGTCTCTTTCAACGCCGTCGCCTCGGGAGCTGCTTCTGCTGCCTGTTCCTCCATCTCCCGCATACTGCAAGACCTGCCTGTGAGTGGGTTTCTGCTGTGAGTTTGTTGGAAGGGTTGGAACTGCCTCGGCAGCCTGTTCCTCCATCTCCCGCATCCTGCAGGACCTGCCGGTGAGTTCACCACGTACACAGTACAATCCGTTTCTATGTGCGAGGCATGAATATGAATGCCCCATGTCTACCATACTGGGTGGAAGGGGGTGGGAGCTGCCTCGGCTGCCTGTCCCTCCATCTCCCGCATCCTGCAGGACCTGCCTGTGAGTCCACCACAGAGTATCATATGATAGGATATGTTTTATTTCTGAGGGATGGAGCATCATGTGTGCTATGCTGGGTGGATTGGGGCTGGACTGGACTCTGTTTCGGTTGCCATCTCCACAATTTGATATGTTTCTTCTGTAAGAAATGAATTTGCAATGGCTGTGAGCTTCTCTTTGCCCCAATCCATCCGTCAACACCTCTCTTCACCTCTCTTCACCTCTCTTCACCTCTCTTCACTCTTCTCTACCCCTTTCCCAGGAGGGCGGTCGCATGCTCGTTGCTCTTGCCACCTTCAATTCCACCATCCAATTCTACAGCCTCAACAGCTCCCTGTGCCCGGTTATACCATGCATTCTTTGCTCCGCTTCACCCCTCGTCACCCCTCGTCACCCCACTTCACTGTTCTTCCTATCCCAGGAGGGCGGTCGCACGCTCGTGGCATTCGCCACATTCAGCTCAACCATCCAATTCTACAGCCTTAACAGCTCCCTGGCGCAGGTGAGCTGTTTTTTTCACTTACACAGTACACTTGTCGTCACTCGAGGTTTCGCTTGCATTCGCCACATTCAACCCCACCATCCAATTACACAGCGTCAACAGCTCCCTGGCGCAGCTAAGCTGTGTTACTTAATTTGGTGTGTTCACTCCCCTGTGATCTAACCTCATCAGACCTCGCGTGCCACCTTGTCATCCCTCTAACCCATTCCCACCCCACCCCACCCATCCCACCCGCTCCCCTCTCCCTTCCCATCCAACCCTAGCCGTCCATGCTGGTGGTCCCAGAGGTATAGGACGTGTACACGCCTCTGCCATCAGACCTCACCAGACCTTACTGTACCACTTATCGTCCCCTATAAACCCCCCACCCGTCCCCACCCCATCAGCCGTCCATGCTGGTGGTTCCAGAGGTAGAGGACGTATACACGCCTCCTGCCATCCGACCTCATCAGACCTTAATGCCCTGTAACACCCCCGCCACCCCCCCCGCGCACACCCCCACCCCACCCGCGCACACCCCCACCCCCCCCGCGCACACCCCCACCCCACCCACCGCCGCTCATCCCCTCTTCCCTCCAGCCGTCCATGCTGGTGGTGCCTGAGGTAGAGGGCGTGTACACGCCCCTGCCATCTGACCTCATAGGGACGTTTTTGTTCCTGCACACCCCCACTCCCACCACCACAACCCCTGCTCCCTTCTTTCTTCTTCCAGCCGTCCATGCTGGTGGTGCCTGAGGTGGAAGACGTGTACACGCCCCTGCCGTCAGACCATACAGACAACTTACTGTCCCTGTTGTCCCTGTCACCCACCACTTGTGCTTCTTCCCTTCCTCACCCCAGCCGTCCATGCTGGTGGTGCCTGAGGTGGAAGACGTGTACACTCCCCTGCCGTCCGACCTCACCAGACCTTACTGTACCACTTATTGTCCCCTATAAACCCCCCACCCGCCCCCACCCTCCCAGCCGTCCATGCTGGTGGTGCCTGAGGTGGAGGACGTGTACACGCCCCTGCCGTCTGACCTCATAGTTCCACTTGACGAGGTAAGTCTTTCTGGGCTGGAAAAACAGTCACGCAGAAGCCAGAGAGGGAGGAAACGACTCCTCACCTTGTCGCCACGGTGTGGGCAATCAATATGCCATTTGAATCGCATCTCATCTCATCCTACCCGTTGACTTGTTGAGTTTTGAGTCGACTCAAAACACGCCTCGTCGCCACGGGGTGGGCAATCGATATGCCGTCTGATCGCACCTCATCATCATGCCGTTTTATGTTGGTGAGTTGCGCTGCTGCTTCTGCAGCTTCGAAGTCGACTTTAAATCTGCCAAATGTTCCCACAAATGTCTGCAGAGATCCGTGTTGCTTACTCGTGCCTGATGGGAGCCATTGCCGCCTTCTCTATTCTTGCCTGCCCCTCTCTTCCCTGCACCTTCTCATCGTCTCCCCTGCCCTCGGTGCCATCAGGCGCGCGAGCGGCTGCAGCAGCTGCTGGAGTCGATCCCACAGATGTTTGCCGAGACTCGTGTGGCTGACTCGTGCCTGGGGGCAGCGCTGCAGGTGAGAGTGGATGGATGGAGGGGAGGAAATGATGTGTATGTGTGCGGAGAGGGAATGGTGGGTGTTGGGTGCATCATGCATGGACGGGTGTTTGCCAAGACACGTGTTGCTGACTCATGCCTGTTTCCCTACTTGTGTTTCACCCAATCTTCTTGCCTGTTTCCTTTCCCCCCCCCTTCTATCTCTCCTCCCACTCCTTTTCTCCCTCCCTCCCAGGGTGCATTCCTAGCCATGAAGAAAACAGGAGGCCGCATTCTTGCATTCCAGTCAGGTATTTTGGTCTTTTCCCTTCCCCCCTTCCTTTCAATGCCTTCTCCTCTTTCCCTCTCGCCTATATTCTACTTCTGGTATCCATTCTCCTTTCCCCTGTCCTTTTCATCCCTTACTTCCATTCAAGGTTTTTTTTCTGTCCTTGCCCCCTCTCACCCTCCCGTTATCCATCTCGCAGTTCTCCCCTCTGTGGGAATCGGATCGCTCTCGTCTCGAGAGGCCGAAGGAGGGTGAATGCCACAGTGGCGGATAAAGACGCGCTGAAGCTGCTGCAGCCCTTCCCTTCTTTGGCTCTCCCTCCCTGTCCCCTCACTCCCTTCCAACCCCCCCATCTCAGTTCTCCCCTCTGTGGGTATCGAATCTCTTTCCTTACGAGAGGCAGAGGGACGAGCAAACGCCACTGTTGCGGATGAAGACGTGCTGAAGCTGCTGCAGCCCAACGACAAGCAGCTCAGCTTTTGCTGTCGGTCTTCTTCCTTTTCCCGCCCCTTCCATCCGTGCCCCCTCCCCCTTCAGTTCTCCCGTCTGTGGGCATCGGGTCTCTCTCTTCCCGAGAAGCAGAAGGACGGGCTAACGCCACCGTTGCGGATAAAGACGTGCTGAAGCTGCTGCAGCCCAACAACAAGCAGCTGCACCGTCTTATCTCTGTCTTCCCTTCTTTGACTCTCCCGCTGCCCCCCCCTTTTCCTCTCCCACTTCAGTCCTTCCCTCTGTGGGCATCGGGTCGCTTTCATCTCGGGAAGCCGAAGGAAGGGCGAATGCCACCGTTGCAGATAAGGACGTGCTGAAGCTGCTGCAGCCCAACGACAAGCAGCTGAGGCCCCACCATTCCCTCCCTGCCCCTCTCCCCCTTCAGTTCTCCCCTCTGTGGGCATTGGATCTCTTTCTTCCCGGGAAGCCGAAGGCAGGGCCAACGCCACCGTTGCGGATAAAGACGTGCTGAAGCTGCTGCAGCCCAACGACAAGCAGCTGAGGCCGATGGCAGAAGAAATGGCGGATTTCCAAGTGTCGGTGGACGTGTTCCTGACCGCGCAAGGATTCGCCGACGCTGCTTCCATCGCCGTCGTTCCCAGGATCACTGGTGGACAGGTGAGAAAGTTGTTTGGTTTGCAGTGGGGATTTGGCAGCAGCCCAACGACAAGCAACTGAGGCCGATGGCAGAAGAGATGGCGGATTTTCCAAGTGTCAGTTGACGTGTTTCTCACCACCCAGGGATTTGCCGACGCTGCTTCCATTGCTGTCGTCCCCAGGATCACAGGCGGACAGGTGAGGGTGGGAGTAGATCGCAGTGGAATCGGGGCTAAGTGATAAACAGCTGAGGCCGGATCACGGGCGGGCAGGTGAGCGCGTGGCAGGGCTTGCTGTGGAAATGGGGGAGGTGTTGATGGGAGATGTGAGGCCGATGGCGGAAGAAATGGCGGACTTGCAAGTGTCGGTAAATGTGTTCTGACGACGCAGGGGTTTGCCGATGCGGCTTCTATTGCTGTCATCCCCAGGATCACAGGCGGACAGGTGAGGGCGCGGGGTGGCTTGCAGTGGGTATGGGGTAGCTATGTGGGACCTTTGAGAAGAAAGAATGGTTTTGACTTATAGCTCTCTGCCACAGTGCTTTTGCCACCTCCCCAACCCCCCCTTCTCCCTCCCCCTTCCCTCCAGCTCTACAGCTAATACCCCTTCAGTGCCGCGCACGACAGGTGCAAGCCGGATAAGCACCTGCGCTGGGCTGTGAGGTCCCTCTTCACAGCCCCTCTTCTTCCCCCTGCAAACCCCTTTTCACACGCTTTCCATTCTCCCATACACCTCCTCATAATCCTCCCGCTCCTCTCTGCTCTCCAGCTCTACAGCTATTACCCCTTCAGTGCAGCTCACGATGGGGGTAAACTGCACAATGACCTGCGCTGGGTTGTTGTGAGGCCACTGCCTTAACCGTCTCCCGTGCTCCCTTCTGCCTCTCCCGCTCCACTCTCCTCTCCAGCTCTACAGCTACTACCCCTTCAGCGCGGCCCATGACGGGGGTAAACTGCATAATTACCTGCGCTGGGCCGTGAGAACAAATCAAACCGCTCCAATCCACCTTACCCATACTCCCTTCCGCCCCCTCCCCTCCTCTCTTCCCCCCAACACCAGCTCTACAGCTACTACCCCTTCAGCGCGGCGCACGACGGGGGTAAACTGCATAACGACCTGCGCTGGGCTGTGAAGCGGCCCTCCTCCCGCTGAAGCCCTCCAACCTCCCCTACTCCCTCCCTTGCTCTCTTCCACCTCCCTGTAAACCTCCCCACCACTCTCCAGCTCTACAGCTACTACCCCTTCAGTGCGGCGCATGACGGGGGTAAACTGCACAACGACCTGCGCTGGGCTGTGAGACAACTGCCTTACCGACTCCCATACCCTCTCAAGCCTCCTCCCCTCCTCTCTCCCCCTCTTCTCTTTCGCAGCTCTACAGCTACTACCGCTTCAGCACGGCGCATGACGGGGGTAAACTGAACAACGACCTGCGCTGGGCTTGCATGTGCGCTCACCCTCTTCCCCCTGCAAACTCCCTTTCACACACGTTTCATTCTCCCATAAACCTCCCCACCGCTCTCCACTCCAGCTCTACAGCTACTACCCCTTCAGTGCGGCGCATGATGGGGGTAAACTGCATAACGACCTGCGCTGGGCCGTGAGACGGCCACACACGTTTGAGGGGGTCATGAAAGTGCGGTGCAGCCAGGTGAGAACAACAGAGCAGACAGGTGGGATCTCAGGTGAAAACAACAGACAGCTGTGCTATGAGACGGCCGCACATTTTTGAAGAAGTCGTGAAAGTGCGGTTCAGCCAGGTGAGAACAGCAGACAGGTGGGCTCAGGTGGAAAAAACAGAGGGGTGGGCTCAGGTGGAAAAAACAGAGGGGTGGGCTCAGGGTCTGTCCGTGTAAGACTACTTTGACAACTTTCGTCGCTCCATCTTTACATAGTAGTTTTGAGGTGCAACGCAGAATCTGATAAATGTTATCTCACTTCCCCTCACCTCCTTTCTCTCCCTCCCCTCCTTTTCTCCTCTCCCCCCACACCTCTCCGCAGGGCCTGTCCGTGTCAGACTACTATGGCAACTTCCACCGTTGCATCCCCACAGACTGTTGTCGAGGCAAGCAGGTTATCAATACAAACCTCTCCCTTTCTCTCATCCGTCCTTCCCCCGTCCTTTCCACCCTCTCCGCAGGGCCTGTCCGTGTCAGACTACTATGGCAACTTCCACCGCCGCATCCCTGCAGAGATTTACCTCCCAGCTGTGCGTATCTGATCTTGCTGGCGATTCGGTACGTATACCGTCACGCCGAGTCCTTGCTGATCTTGCTGGCGAGTCCTTACAACAGCCACTGAGCCGCCGCATCCCTGCAGAGATTTACCTCCCAGCTGTGCGTATCTGATCTTGCTGGCGATTCGGTACATATACCGTCACGCCGAGTCCTTGCTGATCTTGCTGGCGAGTCCTTACAACAGCCACTGAGCCGCCGCATCCCAGCAGAGATTTACCTCCCAGCCGTGCGTGTTTCCCTTTGAGGGTACCAACCTCTCTGAAACTGGCGCGGTTTAGGTAGTCCCTCCAGTCTTTTTCATGGCTTTCTGTGAAACTTTCGCGGTTCTTGACCGTTTTTTAACGCTTTTTTGGTGCTATTTACCAGGTGGTGAACTTTTTCCTATCGAGTTTCTTTTCAACTCTGGATTCGTCAATCTTGCTGCTCGTGCTGGTTTCATTTCACACTCGTATAATCACATTCCCATGGACACGCAGATGGACAGTCACATGGCAACTGTCAAGCACATGGAGATGTTTCAGTACCCTTCTTGTCCCCATGCTGTATTGTCACGTGCACCTATAATCACACCCCTACAATCCCCCACAGATGGACAGTGACAAGGCCATCATGGCAAGGCAACCGTCAAGCACACCGTTAGGCATGTCATCACAGTAGTACCCTACCCTCTCCCCCCCTCCTCCCCTAAAATCACACGCAGATGGACAGCGACAAGGCCATCATGGCAACCGTCAAGCACGAGGAGAAGCTCGCAGAGAACTGCGAAGCGTGCTTCCTGTCTCCACTGTGCATTTTTGTAACACGCGTGCAATCACCCCCCAATGCAGATGGACAGCGACAAGGCCATCATGGCGACCATCAAGCACGAGGAGAAGCTCACAGAGAACAGCCCTTAGTCCCTCTCTTTTCCCCCTCCTCTCACATGTGCCACTGTCTCTCCCATACTATCACACACATACAATCACATACACCCAGATGGACAGCGACAAGGCCATTATGGCGACCGTCAAGCACGAGGAGAAGCTCGCAGAGAACAGCGAAGCATGCTTTCAGGTGGGTTGTTTTGTTTCTTTCAGGTGGGTCTCTGTTGCTTTCAGGTGGCTCGCGGTTCCTCCCAGGTGGGGCTCTGTTGTTCCCTTGTTGGTCCTTCCTTCTTGCCACAACTACTCGTGCTTCCCCCCTCTAAGTTGTTCTATTTCCCTCTTAACTTATTCTCGCGCCTCCATTTGCAGTGCGCCATTCTCTACACCACGACCACGGGGGAGAGGCGTGTGCGAGTGCACACACTCTCACTCCCCCACCACTCTCTTCCGTACTCTCCCCTTAATCCCCTCCCCTGCTCTGCATGTTCCCACCCTTTCTCTCCCTGCAGTGTGCCATTCTCTACACCACGACCACGGGGGAGAGGCGTGTGCGAGTGCACACCCTCTCGCTGCCCACAACAGCTTCTCTCGCCTCTGTGTTCCGAGGGGCAGATCTGGACGCTCAATTCGCATACATGCTCAAGACAGGTGGGTAGTAGTCAGCTCAAGATAGGGAGGAATGGCACAAGGGGGTATGTGTCTTTCAAGTGCACACCCTCTCGCTCCCCACCACTGCCTCTCTGGCCTCTGTGTTCCGCGGGGCAGATCTGGACGCGCAATTTGCGTACATGCTCAAGACAGGTGAGCCGTGGGTGCCGGGGAGGCGGGACAGTGTAAGGGGGGCCTGAGTGCACACATCCTCTCGCTCCCCACCACGGCTTCTCTCGCTTCTGTGTTCCGCGGGGCGGATCTGGACGCGCAATTCGCATAAATGCTCAAGACAGGTGGGTCGGGGATGGTTGAGAGGTGTTTTGTGTCGATTATGCACATCTACCTCTCCACCGCAAGTCCCATATCATGTTTCCTCTTTTCCCCCTTCTCTCTCCCTCATCCCCCCTACAGCTGCTGCGGACGTGGTGACTCACGCAGTGCAGCCAGTGAGGGACGCAGCAGTGCAGACAGCAGTGAACATCCTATACACCTACCGCAAGTTCTGTGCCACTGCCTCCTCTTCTGGACAGCTCATCTTACCAGAGGCGCTCAAGCTGCTGCCTCTCTACACCTTAGGTAAGACGTTCCATCCTCGTCCTTCCATCCAGTGCATGCAGCAGTGAGGATCCCCCTCACCTACTGCAAGTTCTGTGCCACTGCCCCTTCCTCAAGCCAGCTTTTCTTGCCAGAGGCACTGAAGCTGCTGCCACTTCACATCTTGGGTGACTGGTGGTGGTAGTGTGTATCAGCGAAGCATCCCGCTACCCTTATCGGCCTTGCTGGCAAGAGTGTGCTGTGCTGTGCCCTGCCCGTTCCCCTCCCATCGTCCCTATCTCTCTCCTATTTCCCCGTCCCCCTCCTTTGCCCCACCCTCCCACCACCAGCTCTCCTCAAGTCACAAGGCCTGAGGGGAGATGTGAAGGTGGACGAGCGGTCGGCCTGGCTGGCGAGAGTGCACTTGTGGTCTGCCCATTCCCCTGCCCATTCCCCTGCCCATTCCCCTGCCCTCTCTCTCTCCCTTTCCCTCCCCAGCCCTCCTCAAGTCGCAGGGCCTGAGGGGAGACGTGAAGGTGGACGAGCGGTCGGCCTGGCTGGCAAGAGTGCGCCCTCTCTCTGCCTCGCTCTGTGTGCCTCTCGTCTACCCGCGCCTATTTGCTCTGCACCACCTCTTGAAGGATGCAGCGAATCAGGTGAGCATCTCTGCACCGCCCTCCACCACTCTGCACCTTGTGTCGCTTCTCCCTGCACCGCTCTGCGCCCTCTCTCTGCGTCGCTCTGTGTGCCGCTCATCTACCCGCGCCTCTTCGCCCTGCACCACCTTCTCAAGGATGCAGCGAATCAGGTGAGCATCTCTGCACCGCTCTGCGCCCCCTCTGCCTCGCTCTGTGTGCCTCTCGTCTACCCGCGCCTCTTCGCTCTGCACCACCTCTTGAAGGACGCAGCGAATCAGGTAAGGGTCACCTCACTGCACCGCTCTGCCCCTCTCTGCGTCGCCCTGCACCACCTCTTGAAGGACGCTGCCAACCAGGTGAGCATCTCTGCACCGCCCTCCACCACTCTGCCCCAGGTGTCACTTCTCCCTGCACCGCTCTGCACCGTTCTCTGCCTCGCTCTGCATGCCCTTGGTATACCCGCGCCTCTTGGCCCTCCACCACCTTCCCAAGGATGTAGCGATCCAGGTGAGTGAGAGACCAAAGCGGAGAGACGACTTTTGAGTCGACTCAAAAGTCACCTTGGTATACCCGCGCCTCTTTGCTCTCCACCACCTTTTCAAGGATGCAGCGATCCAGGTGAGTGAGAGACCAAAGCGGAGAGCACCTCTTCGCACTGCTATTGCCACTTCTTGTCGGCTTATTAGGGGTATGGTAGGCTTATAAGGGGAGGAGGCGGTGGGTGGTGTGGGTGGGTTGGCTCAACCTCTTTTCCCCTGTTTTGCCCCTCCGAATCTCTCCTCTCCCATCATTTCAGGAGCAGCAGAAGCAGCAGAACGGCACTGAGGATGGGCAGCAGGAGCAGCAGCATGAGCACCTGCCCTCTGCTCTCCCCCTCTCCAGCGAAAAGCTCGAGCCAGATGGTGTTTTCCTGGTGGAGAACGGGGAGGAGGCGGTGGTGTGGGTGGGCAGGGAGGCGGACAGCCATCTGCTGTTTGACCTCTTTGGCCTGCGATCCGTCGATGAGATCGCCCCCGGCCCCGTGAGTCCCCTTCCCTTGACTTGGGTTGACTGCGTTGACTTTCTTGACTGGTGGAGAATGGGAGAGGTAAGGCGGTGTGGTTGGGCAGGGAGGCGGGCAGCCATCTGCTGTTTGACCTCTTTGGCCTGCGATCCGTCGATGAGATTGCTCCTGGCCCGGTGAGTCACATGTACTTGACTTGTTTGACTCTTGTTGACCTGTTTTACCTCTTTGGCCTGCGATTCGTCGATGAAATCGCCCCTGGCCTGGTGAGTCCCCTCTCTTGCCACCCCCTCTTGACCCTCTTGACCCTCTTGACCCTCTTGACCCTCTTGACCCTCTTGACCCTCTTGACCCTCTTGACCCTCTTGACCCTCTTGACCCGCTACACCCGCTTGACCAACTTGACCCACCTCCCCAACCCCCTCCCGGCTTCTCTCGCTCGGGCCCCTCCCCACCCAGCCCCTGCAGTTCCGGCTGCAAGATTTCTGACAACCCCGCATCGCGCAAGTTGAACGTCATTGTGAACGAGATATTTATTTCTCTCCTCCCCTTCCCCCCCTTTCCCGTCCCCCTCTTCCCACCACCGCAGTTCCTGCTGCAAGAATTTGACAACCCTGCATCACGCAAGCTCAATGCCATTGTGAACGAGATTCGGCGCCAGCGGTGCTCGTACCTCAGGTGAGCGGCTTATAAGGGGTATGGTCGGCTTATAAGGGGTATGGAGGTTAGATGGGAGGGGAAATGGGGAGGTGTTATGCCTTTGAGCTGTTTCGTTTTTGTCACTCTTCTGCCCTGACTTGCACTGTTTTGCCACCGCAACCTCTTTGAAATTCTCACCTACCCACCCACACACACTGAACCACACCCGCACGCTCCACACCCACACCCTCTCCCAGTTCCACCCTCCCCCCCACCCCCTCTCCCCCCCCCTTCCCCCTCCCCCCTCCTCACTCCCCCGTCCCCCATCCCCCCCCACACACACTAACCCCCCCTTCCCCCCTTTCACCCTCTAACCAAACCTGCAGGCTTCGGCTTCTCAAGAGAGGTGATCCATCAGGTATGAGATTGCATGCCCTTGTTACACTTCAGGCCCTGGGGTCTTATAAATTGCTTTATGTTTGCTATGCTGCTTTCCTCCCTCGTCGCCTCCCTGGCCTGACCATCCATCCAGTGCGGTAACACTTCCTTTTCGTGTAACACATTGTCTCTACTTCTAATATCTCTCATCCCATGCCTCACATCAGAGAACCTTTTCTTCCAAACGCTGGTCGAGGATCGGTCGCCGTCGGGGATGTCCTACGTGGAGTTTTTGGTGTACGTGCACCGGCAAATACAAAACAAGATGGGATAGGAAAAATACTCTAGCGTAGTGTGACTTTTGAACGAATGGGAGCGGAACATTAGGGAAATAGGGCGAGTTTGTGATTCTACTTGTTCAAAACCGTAACATCAGTGGGGCACGGTACAGTATATGGCAGTAACTTGTTTCGAAAAATGTTATACATACAGTAGCAGTCTATAGTATATGATAGAGAGATTTCTGAATTTCGAAGTGAAAGTATTACGCTAATATCAGGTTACTGAAGACGGGTTTCAAACACTACCACTGCTGTAAGCTCTTCCCACCAAGAATTTTGGGGAGCCCGCCGACACGCGACTCGCGGAGAGGCATACATTGGGCCTGCTGACGCGCCCTCAGGTTCGAGTTTCCCAGTGGGCCTGTGCGCGGCTTGCGAGGTACGGCCGAGCCAGAAAGACTTTGGGTCTTTCTAAGAGAGCGGAGGAAAGAGATCGACGGCGCGTATGCCACCGAAGTTGTCAGAGGAGTTTTTCCGCTATGTTCTTATTTTATTGCAAAAAATAGGAACACCGTCCATTGCGAAACACCTTCCCTGGCACCGTCCTCCAAAACCATCCTACGTTATTTGTTGTTCGGATTATTTTCTTTTACTTTCTGGGAGTTAGCGAGGTGGTCCGTTTCTAGATGCGGTTAGCGGACGAATTGCAACTTCAGACCTTTCCAGTGCCATGCAGACACAGAGTCGTGTAAAGCGAAGTGATGTAACTGGTTGCCTATGACGCGCCGACAGGACGACATGTGGCGTTTGTAGACGACATCGCGTGTCCCTGTTATCGCTCGCACCAACAGGGGGATCACCTTACTTCCATAGTGGTTTCCATTTCTTAATGTTATTCACATCGCTCCGAAGGCCGTCAAGTTAGCGAGTTAGAGCAGTCGAGATTCTGAACTGAGGCCGCCAAGTCACCTTTGTTTGGGCATTGACGGCCCTTCTCCCTGCAGGACCCCCCGACACGTCAGCTCTACCGGTTGAGTCGGCTAGCCGTTGCTCAGGCTCCTCAGAACGTGAACCGCTATTGACAAGCTACCTGTCTTGGAGTAGCATTTGCTTCAATTACCACTACCCGTTACAGTCACTTTGACCAGTTACAATTAGAGGCATCCCGTTACAGGAACAATTCATAACCCGCTATCACTCACCCGAACAATCACACCCTAAACTCGAATTTACGCAACACCGCACGGCTTGGATGGGAACTATTAGACGCGCTATACGCCACGCGGGAAATATCCCCGCTATAGTAGGTCTGCTGCTACTTAGCAGCCTCTGCTGCCGGCCGTGCGACGCGCTGCCGGTGCAGTATCTGCGGCTCGGCTTTATTCTCCCGAGTCCCGAAGTCAACATCGGCATCACGAAACGGCTGGCGGACGAATGGTGAGTGACGCTCGTTGCTGTCACACTCCTCTCACTCACACTCCTCTCACTCACCCTCCTCTCACTCACACTCCTCTCACTCACCCTCCTCTCACTCACCCTCCTTTCATTCTCCCACCCTGCTCCCACTATCTACCTCCGCTCTCTCACCCTTCTTGCTTTTCACCCAACACCCCTCGTGCTGTCCCCTTCATCTCTCCCTCCCCCTCTCGCCATCCCCCCTCCGTGTGTCTTCCTCCATTTGCATAGCGAAGAGCTGGTAGACCTTCCCAAAGCGCCTCTTGAATCGTCTCCCCCCTCTCCTCCAGTCGACTCCCTCTGTGCCTCCTTCCATTCGCAAAGCAAGGAGGCCACATGGAAATGACTTCTGAGAATTCTCAAAAGTTTTCTCCCTCCCCCTCTTGTCGACTCCCTCTGTACCTCCTTCCATTCGCAAAGCAAGGAGCACTTGGCCCATACCATACCCTCCCGTATCGACTTCTTCTCGTTCTGTTCTGTACGCGCTGTTAGGATGTCCGCTACAAGGGTGGCGCTGGACGTGCTCGGGCCCCGTTATAATACAACTTTTAAAGTCATGCCGGTGGTGGAGGTGGTGCCATGCAATAGCGAGGATGCAGCAGTGGCAGCAGAGGTGAGAGGGAGGGGAATGAAGACAGAGGAATAGCGAGGGATGTTGATTCAGAAAAGAAGGTCCGTGCAATAGCGAGGATGCAGCAGTGGCAGCAGAGGAGAGATTGTCTTCAGGGGGTCAATGGGAAATAACAGGGGGGTTTGGGTGGACAAGGGGGGATTGGAAATAGGCTGCAACTTTCAAAGTCATGCCAGTGGTGGAGGTGGTGCCGTGCAATAGCGAGGATGCAGCAGTGGCAGCGGAGGTAAACTTACTTCACTCTTACAATTGTTTTATTTAGGCGGCTAGAAAAACCGATGCGGTTGTGACAGAACATGTGAGTATGAGGGAAATGAAGAAAGAGGAAGGGGGGAAGGGGCGGAGTGCTTCAGGGAAGAATAGCCGTGCTTGAGCCAAAGGGAATTGTTGAGAAATTTTATTTGTGATTCAAAGATACGTGTCTTTTGCGGCCTTACCCTTTCTGCTCCACTGCTCCCTCTCCTGTCCCCTCCTGCTCTCCGTCATCCCACTCACCACAGTCTTACTCCCTACTGCCACCCTCTCCCGTTCCCTCCTGCCCACCTCCCAACTCCCAGCGTCTACACCTGATGAACGTGGTGGGGGTGGTGTGGCCAGCGTGCTCCGAGGCAGTGAGGGGGGGCAACTCCGCGCTACAGCCCCCCATATACCCCACTCCCCACTCCCCACTCCCTGCCCCTCCTGCTTCCAGCGTCTAGACCTGATGAACGTGGTGGGGGTGGTGGGACCTGCATGCTCCGAGGCAGTGAGGGGAGCTAATTCTGTGCTACATCCCAAGGGCATTCCTTATGTGTCGTTTGCTGCCACTGCTGATGTGTTCAACACACCGGATTACAACACGTTCTTCAGAACAGTGTGAGTGGGTATGAGTGGGTGTGAGTGGGTGGGAATCGGCCTTGAGAGAAGTTTTTTCCTCCCCACACACCCGGAGGGCTTTTCCTGTTGTGTCCTTTGCTGCCACGGCTGACGTGTTCAACACACTGAATTACAACACGTTCTCCAGAACAGTGTGAGTGGGTGGGAATGTATGGGTGTGGGTGCGAGTGGGTGGGAATGTATGGGTGTAGGTGTGAGTGGGTGCGAGCAGGTTCCTACTGTGACCTTTCAGAGGCCTGAGAAAAAGGCCTTGCCTCGGCCATCCAATCCTTCATTCCCTTGCTCCTCTCCTTCCCTGAATCCCTGTCCACCTTACAAGCAGCTTCGCTGACAAGCACCAGGCTAGGGAAATCGCGGCTTTGATCAGATTCTTCCAATTCAACGAAGTCCATCTGTTCTACTCCAACGAGATCTACGGCTCAGATCTCGCCTCCAAGATCCGTGCTGAGCTGGACGGCTCGCTCATCCCCATCAGCACCATCCCCGTCAGCTACCCCGTGGACGAGTTTGCGCCGCTCTTTGCTGACGTGGCGGTCGGGGAGAGGTCCATTTGTGTGCTCGCCGCCCTGCCAGCTGTAGCGGAGGGGTTCTGGCGGGCGGCTGTGAGGGAGGTGAGTAGATGGAGAGGCGGCGAGGGGTGAGTTGTGGGGAGAAGGGGGGGGTAAAGGGAGGAGGGAGTAGGAGGGGGAGAGTAGAGCGGGAGAAGGGAGAGGGGTGCGAATGCAGCTTCCATCCTTGATTCCTCTGCGCTCTCCCTTCTCCCCTCCCTCTCCTCGGACCTTAACTTTCCACCCCGGGTGGTTCCTCTTAATCCGATTGCGTTTGTCTTTGTTCAACTGTTTTCTCTCCTCTCCCTTCCCCCCTCGCCGATCCCCCCTCTCTCTGTCTAACCAAAAATCCACTCGTTGCCCTTGGTGTTGCTGATACCTTTATCCCTTGACTCCCGTGACCTTTGCTTTGCACTTTCCCTTCCATTCTCGTCTTTCTTTCTCTTGTCTCCCCAGAACTTCACCAGCTACCCCTGGTGGTACCTGGGGACCGACGGCGTGGCAGCTCTTGACTTCGTTGACCAGTGTGAGCTTTCCCTCTCACTCACTCTCTCACTCCCCCTCACTCGCCATCTCACCCACTCGCTCACCTACTGTAATCATAGTGTGGGGTTACTTACACAGCTCAGGCACGCACTTTCTGAGGCGCCCCAAAACACAGCACAGGCACTTACTTTCCTCGTAACAATGGCCCAGGATCTGCAAGCAGCACTCTCTCACCTTTCTTTCGAGGCGCCTCAAAATTCGTCTCATGTCTCGCGGTTTTGAGGCGCCCCAAAACACAGCACAGGCACGTACTTTCCTCGTAACAATGGCCCAGGATCTGCAAGCAGCACTCTCTCACCTTTCTTTCGAGGCGCCTCAAAATTCGTCTCATGTCTCGCGGTTTTGAGGCGCCCCAAAACACAGCACAGCCACTTACTTTCCTCGTAACAATGGCCCAGGATCTGCAAGCAGCACTCTCAATTTCTTTCTCCCCTCCTTCTCCCTGTGCCTCCTTCTCTTACCATCACAGCTGGGGAGAGGCTTGGAGGTATGGCCCGGTCTTTGCAAGGGGAGATGGCGATTGGTCCTAACAGTAAGTGCAGACCGGCCCTGTCAAGGCTCAATGAGTTTAATTTTTACCTGTCGTTTTTTTCTCTTGATGTGAAGTTTGCACTTCAGATTAATAGTTCCTTCCTATAGTTATGATGATTTCGAAATATTCTATCCAGACTCTTTTCTTTGGGAGCGTGAAGGCATGTCTTTCGAGGCTCCTTACGATGCGTTTCTCTTCTCTTCAAGGTTCTGTGTGTCAGAGAACAACAAGCACGCACTATCCTCTGAATCGTTTTCTCTCCTCTCCCTCCTCTCCCTCCTCCATCTCCTCCGCAGTGCCCTTTTAGAGTCCCAACCTGCGTCCCTTCTTCAGCCACTGGAAGCAGCAGACAGCAGACAACCATTGAGTCGACTCAAAGGCCGCTTTCGAGGTGTCCTCCTTAGTATTACGAGTAAACAGCAGGCACGCACTGCACTCTGTCTCTCCCTCCCTCCTCGCCCTCCTCACTCTCCCCCCTCTCCTCCGCAGTGCCCCTTTGAGAGTCCCAACCTGCGTCCCTTTACGAGCCACTGGAAGCAGCAAGCAGCAGACGATTACTGAGTCAACTCAAACGCAAGAGCTGTCCTTAGTATCACGAGTGAACAGCGAGCACGTAATGCCTCCGTCCCTCCACTCCCTCCACTCCCTCCACTCCCTCCTCGCCCTCCTCACTCTCCCCCCTCTCCTCCGCAGTGCCCCTTTGAGAGTCCCAACCTGCGTCCATTCACGAGCCACTGGAAGCAGCAAGCCGCAGACGATTACTGAGTCAACTCAAACGCAAGAGCTGTCCTTAGTATCACGAGTGAACAGCGAGCACGTAATGCCTCCCTCCCTCCACTCCCTCCACTCCCTTCTCCTCGCCCTCCTCCGCAGTGCCCATTGAGAGTCCCAACCTGCGTCCATTCACGAGCCACTGGAAGCAGCAAGCAGCAGACGACTACGTTGGGCTCATCAATGCGCCGACCACACCAAAGGTGAGGAGGCGTTTTGCGTGCGGCACACATGAAAGAGGTTGATACAACCCCAACCTGCGTCCCTTCGTCAGCCACTGGAAGCAGCAAGCAGCAGACGATTACGTTGGGCTCATCAATGCACCGACCACGCCAAAGGTGAGTGAGTGCTGATGGTAATCTGATGGTCTTTGAGTTGACTCAACCGCCAACCTGAGTCCCTTCACTGACCACTGGAAGCAGCAAGGTCCAGACGACTACATTGGGCTCAACAATGCACCGACCACGCCAAAGGTGAGAGCGCGGTTGAGGTTGACTCTGTCCGCAACCTGCGTTCTGTTCACGCACCACTGGAAGCAGCATGCAGCTGACGATCACATCAGGCTGGTCAATGTGCAGACCAGGCCAAAGGTAAGTGAGTGTATGGTTGAGGTTGACTCTGTCCGCAACCTGTGTTCCGTTCGCATACCACTGGAAGCAAGATGCAGCAGACGATTGCGTCAGGCTGGTCAATGTGCAGACCAACGGGAGCAACATGCAGCAGACCACTCCAAAGGGGAGAAAAGCTGTCTAGAGAAGATGCATCAATGCCAGCTCCTCCTATTCCCAACCTGCGTCCATTCACTGACCCTCACTATCCAACGCACCAGTTGTTTCGTTTCCCCACTCACCTATTGTCTCGACGCATATCCCTCTCCCCCTTCACTCAATCACTCACTCGCTCATTCACTCCTCAAGCCTAGAAGCATTACTCATAGAGTAACGCAGACTGAGAGTCTATCGACTCACTATTTCTTCCAACTCCCCCTGCACACCATACAGTATAACGAGACGCGCTTATACGTGGCGCATCTGATCGACTCCGTCTGGGCATTCTTCGAGGCGTTTCGGAACATCATAGCCGTCCAAAACCGGGTGGTAACCGCACAAGCTGTGCTTGACTGCTTCCGAAACCAGCCGGCCGGTTGCGGGCGTTTTGAGGGAGCATCGGGAACAGTGGCGTTCAATACAGTCACGGGGGAGAGGTTGAAGCTAGATGGAGTGCCAGCTTACAGTCTCTACAACCTGATTGGCAAGACATGGAAGGTGAGTGTTGGGGACAATACTTTCTATGCCAGGGAACTTAAGTGGGAGCAGTAATGGTTCAGTCAGTCACCTGACCATAGTAACTGAAGAATGCACAATCCACCACCCCTCTCATGCACCCTCCACCTGTCGGTTGGAATCTTCTCTTCTCTCCCCAAACCCTCTTCTCCAGGAAAAACCCAAGTGGGTATTGAACGGCTCAGATGGCGTCAAGCTGATGGATCCGACGGACTACGTCACTCAGCCAGGACCTCTGCCAGCTGGCTCGCTGCTGCCCTTGCAACACCAGATTGTGGCTCCGTAGTATGGTAGTCTGATATGGGATGGTGTGACATTATGTTTTGTGGGTGTTGTCAGAATCTAGCAGCAAGAATGGTTGAACTAGCAGCATGCAGGAGTACAAGTAGTAAACCCTAATTTGGGTTGTACCCCATATGGGCTACCCCATTACAGCCTAGACAATATGCAGCATATGTTTGACACACCCCCATAGGCAAATTGGGGGAGAACAAGGGGTCACACGACCAGTCAAGAGAAACAAAGCAAGCTCAGGGTGGATCACAACGTCACCACACACTCTGAGCACAAGCAAAGGGCCACAAGGCCAGTTCACATGCAGAGATATATATATGCAGCAATAACAGTACAGTGATGACTACCTAGCAGAAGCAGGCATGCAGGTATATATATAGATCACCGTACAAGCAAAGACTACAACAAGTGTGGAAACGTAGGCACAAGGCCTAACAGGGTACAAAAGCGCTGATGATCACCAGACGGAAGTGCCTTGGTGAATATATCAGCAGTGTTGGCCTGAGTGGCCACGTGACGAAGACGAAGCTGACCTCGCTGCTGCAACTCTCGAGCCAGGAAGTAACGCAGAGCGATGTGCTTCGTTCTGTGCTCCAGTCTGTGCTCCTCACACAAGGCAATGGCGGCCTTGTTGTCGACGTACAGCACTGGAGGAGAACGAGGCTGCTCTCCCAAGTCAGTCAGCAGGTAGGTGAGCCAGCGTAACTCCTGTGCAGCCATGGCTGTGGCGTAGATCTCAGCCTCACAACTGGAGCTGAGAACTGAAGACGAGCGTGTAGAACGCCACGAAACTGAACCAGAGCCAAGACTGAAGGTGTAACCCTGTGACGACCGCTGAGTAGCCTGGTCGTCAACCCAAGAAGCGTCTGAGTGTCCAGTGAGGACAACTGGGCTCGTCCCTCCAAGCACTAGCCCCATGCCTGATGTGCTGCACAAGTAGCGCAGTACCCTCTTAGCAGCAGCCATGTGCTCAGGTCGGTGCCGACCAGGAGCCACGTAGCGAGCCAGAAGACCAAGAGGGTACGCGAGGTCAGGTCGAGTGCAAGTCATCAGGTACATGAGGCAGCCGACTAGCTCTGGGTAAGGACCACTCGGCTCTACGGACTCGTCCGAAGGTGGAGCTGAGAGCGTGTGACCTGTAGCCAGAGGAGTGGCCTGTGCTGAAGACCAGGTGAAGCCGAAGCGCTGAAGGACCTGCTGCACCATGTGTGACTGAGTCAAGGTGATGGTGCGACGTGCTCTGTCTCGGGTGATCTGCAAGCCAAGGTAGCTGCGCAGCTCACCCAAGTCTGTGCACGTGTGTCTCTTCTGCAGCTCCGACTTCACGTGGGCGAGAGCCTCAGTGTCAGCAGTGGCAAAAACCAAGTCGTCGACGTACACGAGGATGTAGAACGGCGGTAGCGAAGTGTCGGTGCGCAGAAACAGCGACGGGTCAGCTGTAGAAGGCGCAAACCCAAGAGCCGCAAGCGTAGTCCTCAGTGTGTCGTGCCACTCACGTGGCGCCTGGCGGAGACCGTAGACCGGCCGCCGGAGGCTCCACTGGGTACCAGGAGGGAACGACCCAGTGAAGCCCGGGGGGCGGCGCAGCCAGATCTCCTCGTGCAGGCTACCCTGCAAGAAAGCTGTGCTGAAGTCAAGAGAGTGAAGCTCGTAGTCACGGTGAGCAGCAACGTGCAGCAGCACCCGAAGAGTGGTCATCTTCGGGGTGGGGGAGAAGGTCTGGAAGAAGTCAACTCCCTCTCGCTGACTGAAGCCTCGAGCCACGTAACGCGCCTTGAAGACAGGCGGAGAACCCGGCGGCCGCTTCACCCTGAAAATCCACATGCCACTGACGATGTTCGCCCCAGGTGGGGGAACCTCGTCAACGTAGGTGCCTGTGGACTTCCAGGAAGCCATCTCTGCGTCCATGGCTGCCTGCCACTGAGAGGAGTAGGGACCCTCTATCGCCTCTGCGTAAGAGCGCGGAGTCGGGATGTCTGGTGCATCCGGGTCTCCCTCAGGGGCAAGTAGTGAGGACACAAGATGAGGTAAAGCAGCAGCAAGACACTGGAACTCCTCTTGCCTGTCCTCAAGGACGTCCGTGCTAAGAGCACACTCACCCCCGACGGACGGAGGACAGACAGACTCAGACTCAGCAACAAGACTAGCGGCGTAGTCTAGACGACAGGCAGCAGCAAAGTCAACAAGCTCAGCGACCAAGGCAGACGCAGCAGTAGACTCAAACGACGGGTCAGTGACAACAGTGGCTAGGAGACGCGTGACAGTAGGGTGCTCAGTACGAAACCTGTCAGACTCAGGGTCCGGAACGGCAGGCAGAGAGGACGCAGGGGGAGACGGCAGAGGAACAGGCTGCAGAGCAGAGGAAGGACGACGGACTACGAGGCGTGCGCTGGGGACAGCCGGCTGACGCGAACGAGGAACACGACGACCGGTACGACCAGGACGAGCAGGCGAGACAGGACGCGACGCAGGCTCACGACGCTCAGCAGGACTACCAGTCTGCTCAGTGTAAGGAGAAGGAGCAGGCAGCGGTGAGCCAGGCTGTAACGGAAGACCAGTAGACGACGGGAGAGTAACAACCTGACGAAGAGCAGAGTCAGGCGGCGGCAGAGACGACGGAGACGGCGGAGCGAAGAACAGTCGTGTCGGCGCAGCTGCACCAGTACCGGCAGCTCCAGCAGCTCCAGTGCCTCCAGCAGCTCCAGTACCTCCAGCAGCTCCCGTACCTCCAGCAGCTCCAGAAGCTCCAGTCCCAGAGCCGACACCCCCAGTCCCAGGGTCTCCAACCTCTGTGTCTCCAGCAGCAGCACCCCCAGACCCAGCACCTCCAGTCCCAGGGTCTCCAGCCTCAGTGTCTCCAGCAGCAGCACCCCCAGAACCAGCACCTCCAGTCCCAGGGTCTCCAGCCTCAGTGTCTCCAGCACGAGCACCTCCAGAACCAGCGACTCCAGCACCTCCAGTAGACAAAGGACCAGCACCACTCCTAGCTCCAGCAGCGCGACGCTGACGGCGACCGTACCAGTCCTGCAGCTGCTGTGGGGTGAGAGGCACACGTGGACGAAGGCGGCTACTCCAAGGAGACCGTGCAACAGCAGACTCAGAACCCTCAGCGCCCGCACCCCCAACGGCTCCAGAACCTCCGGTGTCAGTACCCTCAGCACCAGTACCTCCAGCGGCTCCAGAACCTCCAGCGCGAGCACCCTCAGCAGCTCCAGAACCTCCAGCTCCAGCGCCACCAGGACTAGGCCCTCCAGCAGCTCCCGAACCTCCAGCGCCAGCACCCTCAGTAGCTCCAGAACCTCCAGCGTCAGTACCGCCAAGCTCAGCACCCCCAGACCCCTCACACTCAGGCTCAGCACCACCAGGACTAGGCCCTCCAGTAGCTCCCGAACCTCCAGCGCCAGCACCCTCAGTAGCTCCAGAACCTCCAGCGTCAGTACCGCCAAGCTCAGCACCCCCAGACCCCTCACACTCAGGCTCAGCACCACCAGGCTCCACACCCTCAAGCTCCGCACCCTCAGGCTCAGTACCCCCAGGCTCAGCACCCCCAGGCTCCGCACCCCCAGGCTCAGCACCCCCAGAAGTAGCACCCCGAGCAGGACCACCCTCAGTAGGACCTGAGTCACCAGTGACCTCAACCGGCGCAGTCAAGGGAGGAGGGTCTACCTGAGAAACACCTGAAGGAGCAGGACCGGGAGCGGGGAGGGGGTCTACCTGGGGAGCACCTGGAGCGAGGAAGAGCGGCGGGGGGGGGAGCGGGGTAGTGCGGTAGGGGAAGAGACGGTAAAAGGGAACCGACTCGTCGAACGTGACGTCCTGAGACGCAAAGACACGGCGCGAGGTGGGGTGATAAAACTGCCAACCAGGCGCGTCAGGGACAAAGCCAAGGAAGACACAGGGAACAGCGCGGGCGGAGAGCTTGTCCGCGGTGGTATCGCGGACAAAGGCACGAGCACCCCAGACCCGGAAACGCGACGCATCGCCAACCTTCCCCGTCCACAGCAGTGTGGGCGAGGTCTCCGGCAAGGAGACACGGGGCCAGAGGTTGAGCTGATGCGCGGCGTACCGGACCGCAAACGGCCACAGGAAATGGGGGGCAGCCGCATGGATCATGGAGGTACGAGCGACCTCCATGACTAAGCCAATGCGGCGCTCAGCAACCCCATTCTGCTGTGGAGAGGTCGGAAGCGTGAACGACTGGGTGATGCCGTGCTCCGCACAGTAGGCTGCCAAGAGGTCTGAGGAGAACTCACCACCTCTGTCAGAGTGCAGACGGAGGACAGGAAAGTCCCGCCGGAACCGCTCGCGGAGCTGGAGACGAACAGTGCGGATCCAAGGGATCAAAACATCAGGGACGTCCCCCTTGCTCTGCAAGGGGAAGACCGTGGTGTAACGCGTGTAGTCGTCGACGACCAGCAGGAAGTACCGCTCGCGGCCCTGTCCCTGGACGCGGGCTGGGCCCCACACGTCCAGGTGGAGCATCTGCAGTGGAGCCTCTGTGGGAGGAAACGAGGAGGAGTGAGGAGCGGCGCGCTGCCGCCCCTCGACGCAAGGAATGCAGGGCGGCGCAGGCGAGGGAGGGAGGGCAGGCAGAGACCTGGGAAGACCAGAGACCAGGGAGCGAGAGTGCATGCTACGCAGGCGAGGCAAGGAGGGGTGACCAAGGCGGTGGTGCCACAGGAGAGTGTCGTGCGACAAAGCGCGACACTCGCAGGGGGCCGCCAGCTGACCAGACACAGACGCAGACGCAGCTACCTGAGGGGACTCAGTGGTGAGTGTGTACAGACTCGAGCCAGGCGCACGGGTAAACGTGGCCAGGTGTCGGCCCGTCCGAGCACACGTACAGCGGGTCACTCGCTGACTCGCAGGAGTGAACTGGTGAACCCCTCCATCCTGGAGGTCAGCTCCCGCCACCAAGTTCGTAGAGAACGAGGGGAGGTAAAGACCTGACAGGAAGCCAGACGGGACGGCCGGACACGGCAGAACCGTGGA